AACCTCATGCATCTATACCGTCTGTCGCGCAGCAATCTACGCGGACACAGTTTCAACCTGCATAAGGAGCCATTTAAAACAACAGTCCGACAGTGGTTTCTTCCCAACCGCATATTCAACACCTGGAATAGTTTACCTGAAAGTGTGGTTGGTGCTACTTCAGTTAATAGCTTTAAAGTGCAGTATGATAGCTGGAGGAGTGTACAAACTTTATAGCTATGAACTGTCTTTTTTTATTTTTTTCTATTTTGATGTATTTGTGTTACGTGTCCGTACACTATATTTACTGCTTGAGCTTATAGTACTGTGTACTCTGCTCATCTCAATTATCATAATAATAATAATAATAATAATACTGATACGCTAACAACCTCGGTAGTTCTATGCACCTATTGGACATGTTCGTAGCTAACTTTTTTCTCAAAGGGTCAAACTTGTGCTGGACATCATCCTTTATGAATTGTTGACGGCATGCAGAGTCAACCTACTCGACGCCGTTCTTTTGGTAACACTATCTACAACTCCAGTACTTTAAAAAGCCCTAACCTTAGTAATTTTTTTTTAGTATCAGAAGCTTAATAGTCTTGCTTGCAGCTTTCAAGCCTTTTAGCATTTTAGCATTACTGCAGCATGACAAAGTCAATTAGCGATGTTCTTGATTTGATTCTCCCATGCAAAAAGGATTCACTAATTACTCAAAAGATAGGGCGGTCCTTTGTTACCCCCTATCTTGTTTCGATTCTAATAAATCTAATAACAATGAACGGTTACCAGAATAAAGTACACCTTCAAGATATCTTCTTACGTTATTAATATTAATAGCCTCTCCACGATTATCTCAAGAGGTATATTGAGAAACGCTTAGACATCTACTGGGTGGAAGTTCAATACTTGTCGAAGGAGAACCTGGTGAAAAATTACAGCTGTAGGACGCCTTTATGGCCTCCTTGATTTTCAGAAATAATAATAATAATAAATGACTTTAAATAAGACAAAAAAGATAATAGTAATAAGTCTTAAAAATACAGAATAATCATAATAATAATTACGTGTTAACACTAAATGGACTGAAAGTATATTAAAATTTCAAAAAGATATTAATTAATACTGGTTGCTTGACATATTTTTTCTACTTATATATCTATATTATAAACTTCAATCTCTATTCTAAAAAAGTTTGTTCAGATTTCTATTTAGCTAATATTTCTTATATTGTATTTTGAAACTTGAAAGAGAAAGATTAAGGAACTGGTTGGGAATTGAATTAAATTGTTTAACAACATTGTATGAAAATGATCGTTGAAACAATGCACTACTATGAAGCGGCATAGTTATTTTTTTTAAATATCTTACATTTATATCATGAACAGAATGTCGGAAAATTAAACGTTGTCTTATAGAATCAGGTTAACCTGGAGTGTTTATAATTTTCAATAAAAAACTAGAAAAATGGAGAGTGCGACGCTCATTCATTTTAAGCCATTTAATTTTTTTTCCAAATGAGATATATGATCAAACCTACGCAGATCATAGATAACCCTGAGGCACGCATTTTGCACCTTCTGAATCCGACCCCTACTTGCCTGATCTAAGCAAAACCCATAGACAAAATCGCAATAATTGAAATTGGAATGAATTAGGGATTCACACAATTTCTTTTAGTGATCTGTTTAGTTATGTGTCTGTTATTATACAAAACTTTTAGAGAACAAAATGATTTTTACATAAGATTTTTCAGGTGATTTTTAAATCTAAGCTGAGAATCTCAAACTATACCGAGATTTCTTGTACCTTCAACAAAATTCAATTTTGAATTATTAGCCTTTATATTGAAATTAACTTTCAAAAACTCAGTCTTAGATTTGTTACAAAAAATCATTACATGCGATTTCTCCGGATCAAGTTTTAAGTTGTGACCTAATGAGAGATTGTTCAAGGTGCTAATGTTCTCATTTATACAATTTTCGTAATATTTGTAATCCTTAATATCAAAAAAACAATAAACCTGGGTGTCATCCGCGAAGGCCTGAACTTTACAAAACTTTAAAGACGTAAGAATATCAGATGTATAAATTAAAAATAACAAGGGGCCCAATATTGATCCCTGAGGAACTCCCGATAGGATCTCCGCTTTGTCTGAGAATGTGTCATTCGATAGAATCGATTGATACCTTCCTGTCAAATATGATTTTAAAAGTAAACATGCTTCCTTATTAAAGCCATAGTACTGAAGTTTAGCTACCAACAATTCATGATTAATGGTATCAAAAGCTTTTGAAAAGTCTAGAAGTACCAAAACTCATCTTTTTATTATTTGCTCTTAATATGTCATCGAGTACGTTTGTTAGAGCCACTGAAGTGCCAACATTTTTACGAAAACCACACTGAGTACCAGGAATAATATTGTTAGTCATATAAAAGTCATAAATTTGTTCATACAACACTCTTTCAAATATATCGTTAAAACTTGATGGATTAGGTATTTTTGGTAATGGTTTTCCTATGGAGATTTTCCACTTGACGTGAAAGTACCTTGTTTCAATGGAACAGTTTATAATATGTGTTATATACTTATCTATGTACGGACTACAATATTTTAACATTAAGGGCGAAATATCATCTATCCCGGTTGCATTACCTTTTATGTTGTCTAAAATTTTGTTTATATTTGTTATTTCTGCTAATTTAAAGTTATAGGTTAAGTTATTTTCAAAGGCATTGTTTTTATAAAATTTAATTTTTTCCAAACAGTTAGATTTATTTTGTAGAAAAGCAGCAAAAAAGCTATTAATGTCATCAGGTTCTGATAAAGACTGGGGAATTTCATTATTTTTTGTAGAACAGATATTAAAACATATTAAAACTGACCACAGTTTTTTGGAGTTACCTTCAACAGATTCTATGTATTCCTTCTTCTCTTTTCTTATCAACGATAAACTAAAATTTCTTAAATGTTTATAATCTACCCAGTCTGATTGAAGCTTTGACTTTTTAAATTTTTGCAGTGCTGCACCTCTTTGTTTTATAAACAACTTAATATTGTTAGTTAACCAAGGCGCTTTTGGTTTTGTTATTAGTGATTCTTTCATTGGTGCATGCTTACTAAACAACGTGAAAATTAGATTATTTAAAATAGTTATTTTATTATCAATAATATTCTCATATAATACAGGGTTCCGCAAAGTTGGGGTTTTCCTTTACACGACGTGTAGATCTTGAAAACATAAGCAATTTTTCTTAGTACCATATACACCAATGTCTTAAGGGAACCGAGATAAAGGGCTCTGCAACATCAGAAATATCTGAATACCGTCCTGTAGCCGCGACATCCCCGACTGGTACTAGGACACTAGCTCAACCCGACGACAGAACTGGGTCGGGGTCAGTGTGTCAGGTCAGTATGCAACCTTCAACCGACGGTTACGGTCACGCGTATAGAGGTAATTGCGTAGACGAGAATCTCTCAACAAGCACTAGAGACGTGGCTAGAGAAGTGCAAGTATCAAAAACTAAAGTGTGGCAAAAGCTGCGTGAAGAGGGGCTGTATCCGTTTCACGTCCAACGTGTACAAGCCCTTCAACCTGACGATTTTCCAGCAAGAGTGCGGTTTTGTGAGTGGTTGTTGCATCAACATGACAATAATCCGGACCTTTTGAAGTGCATATTGGTGACAGACGGCTCTACGTTCACGCGTAATGAGGTGAATAACTTTCTCAATACTCATGTTTGGTCAGTAGAAAATCCGCACGCTGTCCGTCGGGCACATTTTCAACAAACATTTTGGCATGGTGAACGGTATGCTCATTGGACCATTTATTCTCCCAAATCGATTGGACGGGATGCAATACCTAGACCCTAGACTTTTTACGCAACATTTTGCCTTCCTTGTTTGCCTGCGTCTGCTCGGTAGCGCATCAGCTGATTTCATTTTCAGTTGGAGCGGTATGATTTCGGGCAGAGACGTACTTAGCCCTTCTCGTCAACTGGAGAGTGAGTACTTTTTCCTTTATTTTTTTTTTACTTGGTCGCCCTAGTTCACTACACATTACCTTTGTTATTTCAAGGGTAGTTGTTTCTGAAAAAGAAAACCCCAACTTTGCGGACACCCTGTATTACTCCACGGCAAACTTTACATATCTGCTAGAAAATTATTAAGGTTACAATTTTTAAAAGAACAATGTTTTATTATTTAAGGTGATTCACCTTCCTTTTAAACATTAAGATCGCAGTAAATCAATTTATGCTCTAAAACATTATCCGCTGATAAAACCCCAGACCTAGCCACTATCGACAAGTTAGTGACAAATATCGGATCAAGCAGAATACAAACCGTTCCAGAAATGCGTGTAGGTTCACTAACGTTCTGCGTAAAATTATAATTTTCCAATAGGGGTACCAGTGGATTTTGAAGGTTAAATAAGTTGCAATTAAAATCTTCCAAACAAATAAATTTCATAGGCACTGAATTTTCAGGTTATGTCGCAAACATCCATTTGCATCAAATTGTTCATGCTTTTGATGAAGAGGAAACATGGCTCAAGGAAGCATTGGGAGAAATATTCTCAGTTTCATCTGCTGTATAAATTCATGTTCGTTACCTCAATCTGTACGGTTGTGTCCTTTCTACCTTTTTTTCTTGCTTACTACTAAGTAAAATATAGTAAATACACCGACACGGTCTGCAGTCTTATTTCTCCTATTCCCCAAGGCTTCTAATAACTGCTAATATATTGCATAGCTAAGTTTTTTTGATGTATCCAGTGTCATTTTTCAATGATGTATTGAATAAACCATATCTATCATCCATCCATCTATATATCTATAAATTAAAATTGAGCTAGATATTTGAGGAACACCACACGTATTTCTATTCAAGAACACACATTGCTCTCTATCAGTGAGATACGAATTGATGAGCTCAATACAGCTGGTGCTGAAACCGTGCTTCTAATCTATCGAGTAATATGCCCTGTGAAATGCAGTCAGACGCTTTGTGGAGATCATAGAAGATGCATGAGGAAGACTGGTGATATAGGTAAGCACTTACCTCTGAGTACAAGAACGCATTCTGTATTGTTGGTGTAAGTATCGGCCGGATAGCCGGGACTGTAGAACACCTTGCTGGTGGCCGAAACGTTCACGAAGGGTCTGCAAGCATCGGGGATCGGCTCGCCATCGTACACGTCTACGCTCACGCCGTCGGATTCGTCCATTTCCGGAACTTGACGGACGAACCTTACGTCACCTGCAATATAAGTGCGTAGATCATTGCATAAGCAACAAATAAGAAAACATTTTCTGGAGTAGATGGTTGTTAGGTACATGTACATTAGGGTATCTCAAAAAAATTACGGTTCTTTTTTTTAAACGCGTACCCTTCAGTTTTGCTTGAACAATTGTTAATAAAGCGTCACGAGTTGCGTTGGAAGACGACAAAACGTATTGCGCTCCAGCTTATTTTAGTATATAGATAGGCCGATCAGGACCTGTATCGTGGCCCGCTAGATCACCAGATTGAAATCCTATGGATTTCTTCTTTTGGGGTAATTTAAGACAACGCGTTTACACCAGTGGAAACTGTGATGATATTCGACGAAGAATTTTCCACCATAGTGGCCAGGAAATGAAAATTAACATCCAAATGCTTTGGAGAGTGCAGCAAGGATTAGTTCGTCGAGCGCGAGGGTGTGTTAGGTAAGTTGATGCTCATTTTGAACAATTTCTGTATTTCCGTTTATTAGTTTTGTTGCCATCATCATTTGTTATTGTTAAAAACCATAGCAACTTGATTATTATATTATAAAAATGTTTTATCATCATGGTGCAAATAATGCATTGGATCTTTTGAAAACAAATATTTCGAAAACTATTAGCTTTAGGCAGTTCTAACAAGTGAACCTTTTTTGTTGTACAATTACGAGAAAATAAGATTTTTCAGTCAGTTGCTGTATACAGGGTAGCACAAAAAAGTTATGATAAGTTATTTACCGAAATAGTGCTAGAAGTCTGACCAGAAAAAATAACGGATTCTTGTTTCTTATATACAAGCTGTCCGCAAAGTTGGGGTTTTCCTTTTCAGAAACAACTACCCTTGAAATAACAAAGGTGATGTGTAGTGAAACGAGGGCGACCAAGTAAAAAAAAAATAAAGGAAAAAGTACTCACTCTCCAGTTGACGAGAAGGGCTAAGTACGTCTCTGCCCGAAATCATACCGCTCAAACAGAAATTGAAATCAGCTGATGCGCGACCGAGCAGACGCAGGCAAACAAGGAAGACAAAATGTTGCGTAAAAAGTCTAGATATTGCATCCCGTCCAATCGATTTGGGAGAATAAATGGTCCAATGAGCATACCGTTCACCATGCCAGCCCAAACATTCACCGAAAATGTTTGTTGTTATTCACCCCATTACGCGTGAACGTAGATTCGTCTGTCACCAATATGAACTTCAAAAAGTCCGGATTATTGTCATGTTGATGCAACAACCACTCACAAAACCGCACTCTTGCTGGAAAATCGTCAGGTTGAAGGGCTTGTACACGTTGGACGTGAAACGGATACAGCCCCTCTTCATGCAGCGTTTGCCACACTTTAGTTTTTGATACTTGCACTTCTCTAGCCACGTCTCTAGTGCTTGTTGAGGGATTCTCGTCTACGCGATTACCTCTAGACGCGTGACCGTAACCGTCGGTTGAAGGTTGCATACTGACCTGACACACTGACCCCGACCCAGTTCTGTCGTCCAGTTGAGCTAGTGTCCTAGTACCAGTCGGGGATGTCGCGGCTACAGGACGGTATTCAGATATTTTTGATGTTGCAGAGCCTTTTATCTCGGTTCGCTTAAGACATTGGTGTATATGGTACTAAGAAAAATTGCTTATGTTTTCAAGATCTACACGTCGTGTAAAGGAAAACCCCAACTTTGCGGACACCATGTATATAGTATATATAGTTTTATGCCAAAATCTGAAATACTTCTCAAGCAATAAGGAAAAATAGAAAATAAAGTTGTATTTTTGATACCCTGCATCTCGCAAACTATCAACTTTTGGACTGAGGTATGTTTAGGTCATATCACATATTTTGGTCTGCAGTATCTCCGGTTTCTAGATTCTCCAGCCTTACGCAAAATATACCAAAAAGCTATTTTTCCAACAATCCTCCCAGCAAAATCTTTCTATCTCTATATGAGAGTTCTTATTCGGTCTAAACAACATGATTCCACTGACAAATACGTCTGTATAACATCTTGTAGAACAATGTAGATATTTATCTAGCTAGCCTTATATACATCCGGGTGCCAAACACAGGGCTGTCTTTCGAGGCATACTTATTGTGAGGACGCCTTACTTGTGTTGTCACTTAGGAATGTCAGAAAACTCGTAAAACATTTTTATCAAGGGAAAAAGCGACCGTTTTTGATCTGAAGCCTCTGTAGTACCTCGCATACAGTGATTGTTTAGCTCCAACGACACTTTTTTCCACTTCATTCTTGCTGGAGTGGCGTTGGCTAAGCCTCGTCAACGCCAAGAACTGATATCGTGATTGCTTGAAAAAAAAAGTGGAATGAGGGACACATTCAGAACTTACATTATTTTCAATTATTTGAGGGTACGGCTTAAGTCAGTTGTTTTCAAATTCTATATATTTTCCACCTGTAGCTGAAGCCAGATTTTTAGAAGTGTTCATGAGCGTATCTTAATATTAATCATTTTGTTGCAAATATCTATAGGCAAAGCTGCGTTCTTGAGACACTTTAATATAAGAAATTGGAGAGCATTTCGTTCTTTTTTAGTCAACGTAAACTCAGTTTACAAGAAAGGCTGTTATAAATACCCCGTCAACTGCTAAAGTTACTGACGGAGGGAGAGTTATTAAAAGTTCCGATATCCTATTGACGTTATTGAATTTCCTTGCGGTATAAAGTAGTTCAGTGAACTATTTGATTTACGTACGCTTCAAGTATAATATTTGCGGCAGCGTCACCCCGAAAGTTATGTAAACCCTGCAGTCAAGCAGGTGAAATGTCAGTTATGGGGATCACATAACAGGATAGACATAACAGATTATCACTAGTTGGATCAAGCTCTGACGATTACACTGTATGCCTGAAATTTTGAATTCGAGTCAAAAATACTAGGTAGTCATTGAGACAAGTGTTATACATTTGTCGGGCTTATAAGGGCACTTAGTCTAACTTAACCTGACTGGTTAGCTTTCCTGGTATGGCATCAGGTTCGACTAGGTTGAGGTTTGGTGATTTGGGAATACTGCTGTATATCGTTTTGAGTAGTAATGCAGGGCGGATTTTGGCCCAAATTTGCGAATCCGAATCTTCCGACTTATCCCCAATTGAGCACGTGTGGGATATGATGGGTAGGAGATTGCTCAATTTGCAACGTCCTCCTCAGACTCTAGAAGCACTTCGAGAGGAGTTGGTGGTTGCCTGGAATGAGATACCACAGGAGGACATTGACCACCTGATCAGAAGCATGCCTAGGCGCGTTGGAGAATGCGTAGCACATCAGGGTGCATCCACACATTATTAAAGGTCAAAGGGCTTTAAAGCAGTGCAATCATTTTGAAATTTTTATCATTTACTTATTATGCTTCGTTAAGTACTTATACAAAATTTTACTAAAATAAAACCATTTAAACTGGGTGTTCGGATTTATATGTCACTTAGTATATATCCAATAATAAGGTTTGGAAGCAATTTAATAAATTTGATATTCCTAGTTTTATTTTGCGGCGTATTAAGCTTCCTCCATAGAATAATGTGGAACTAAAATAAGAACGTAAGATGATTATCACTTGCTTAAACTAACGCGGATGCGTAGGCAGAAGCCTTAATGCAGGGATACAGCAGATCATGTGTATGTCAAATTTCAGTGAAATATCTATCTCTATTTTTAGAAACCTTACCACCGTGTATTTTAAAGATTAGGATGCCTAAGGCATACGATTCATATATCATATAAGTTTTCTTCCCAAAATAGATAAAAAAAATCGCACCCTCAGATACTGACATTTAATTAGGATATAGCCATATAATGTATATGTTAAAAATATCCAATTTGCGGGAATAATAGTACTTGATTTTAACTTTTCATTCATTCACTATTATAGCGGTGTGTATGGCCACATCTACGTCCGCATAAGCTCCGCATATTCATTTGTGCCTTGAGCTGTACTCGCCACTCATATCGATCTTCTCTACATCCATCAGAGCCCCGCTGACTTTCCACCGAATATTTTTCACAATGAAGTCACGTAGGCTGGTTTGGAACTTTCAATGAAAATGGATCCCCTTGCGAATGAAAAATGTGGCTGGCCATTAGGAGGCTCGCAGTGCTTTCGCACCGGATCAAGGAAACCACACATTTCCATGAATGTCTAGGGAACGAAGTGAAGTGTGGCGTGGAGGATATTTGAAGTTGGCCGGAATATTTTCTAGGCAAATTCGTAGATATCTGCTGACGTATACCAGTGGGAAAGTTCACATTTCAAATTTGAATTACGCGAGGAAGTTTGGAGAGGTCTTGATCGATGTGCGTTTGCTATCGAGGCTTACTTTAACAGTACGCAGCTGCTCTTCGGAAAATTTTGTACACGATACAGAGATGCCCCAAGTAAGGACCTATCGAAAAAGTGGATTAAGAGTTTCCGTGAAACTTAGTCAATCCATTCTTGGCCCCACACCTTCTGCATCAAATTGCAAATCCTCGGCCTTCTGCCCAACTAACAATTATCACTCCTATTAGAGTTGCAAAAATGATTATAAAGTATTCCTTACACAGCATTGTATCCTGTAATAACATTGGCAAAACCATCTTAGAACAGCTATACAAGCGGAATGGGCACACCTAATAGAACACTTCAGTCATTTAAGAAGTTGTATAAGGGCGGCAGGTAACATTTATACAACAAAAGTGTAAGCCCCTTGCAGCCGCTATAGGACATTTGCGTCAGTGCAAGATTCAGTTTTTGTCAACTATGCAACTATTCTGTTACGTGGTTCTACTTTATTGCAATAGACGAAGTGAAGAATATATAACTAACACATTACAGTCATCTTGTTTACTTACATATTGGCCATTGTGAATTTCATACACAGGTATATGATAAACTTCTACACTGTGATATAGGGCTTTTGAATTACTTGCGCAGCAAATTTTATTGTGATTATCGTGCAAAGTAGTTAAGCAATTTCTACGGGTTTCTTATTTCATGCATATTATGATA